CATGTAGGAAAAAACTGTCTTTGGCTTTCCACAGAATATCATCAAATCACAAGCTTGAGAAGAACCATATCTTTTCTGTGTAGGATGGAAGATACTAAAAATCTCATCGATTTTGTGTTCTCTACCACAAAACTTCAGTTGCAAAATATTGCCAAGTTGCAAATAACATTAAAATAAAGGACTGCATGGGAAAAGTTACAATACACTCAGTAGCTTCTGTAAAAGCACACATCATGCCAAGGAAGGCAGAATAAAATTTTAAAAGTTGTAACCACTAGGCTAGGAAAAGAGCTGTTCAGTGATACAAGGATGTGTACTTATCTGTAGTCAAATAGAGAGTTCATATTTCATAAACTAAGTAAAGTTGGGCCATGTCAGGGACTGAGATAAGAGATAGGTGATAGCAGGGGTTGTTTTAATCCATCAGCAGCTGGCATGCTTCTAGCATAAGTGGGCTTTAAATTAAACATTCAAGCGAGCAGTCAGTTGCACTGCTTTGCCAGAAATAATGTCTTTGCTGAGAACAAAATGCAGGTCCTATCACTCTGTTGGTCAAAAATATGCAATAATGAATTGTATAAAAGTCACCACCTGGGATGAAGATACACAGTACTCTGAGCTCTTCCTAGTCATCCACTACTTACATGAATTATAAGCTTAAAATTCATATTTTGATTTCATGAGAACATGTTTTAAGTCACACAGATTTTTCCATCACAGTGTCTGTCGCAAATGTTGACCCAGATTTTGCAATAGCTCACAGGATCCCACAGCTGACAAATCAGTCCCTATCCTGATCTGCTTACTAGACACAAAAATCTTTAGGGATGGTAAAAACAAACAAACAAACAAAAAAAATCCAAAAAAAACCAAACAAAAAACTACAGACAAAACAATGTTTAAGCAGATAAAGTAAAAAAATGGCCCTTTCTGCAGTGCAATGCAAAAGTCTGGAGGAGAATAACTCTTCAGTGATTGATACTGAACTCCTGTGTGAAGGGTCTGAACACTGGATAGACCCACTCCCATCAAAAGGTGGTGACTGCACGTGGATGAGTAGCAGGAGCTAGTAGAAACACAACCAAGGGAAGAAAATAAAAAGATGTGGTTGTTATCTGGCAACATAATTGGCAATGGAGAGTCAGTCAGTGTGTGCACAGGCTTTCCTCTTTGTGGCTGTGCTTCTCATTTTTCAAAGAAATAATATCAATCTGTTTTAAAATAAGTGTGAGCAGCTTGGGATAAATGGAGGAACACAATCTTCCTCTTTCAGTTAAAAGTTTGTAGAAAGGCATTAGGGTAGCTATGAACTATGTCAAGAGAGGCTTCTCTCTTCCATATACAATGATATCACCACACCTAGAACTAAGTTTATAGAGGAAATTTTTTATATAAATTTTCCATAGGCTCAAAGAGAAAGGTAAGTAACAAACATGCTAATGTGCACTATTTTAACAATTTAACTTTTGAGCAATTATGATTTTGTTGGAGGCTGATTTATGAGTGGGTGGGTTTCGTAAAAATGTCAAAGCAGAAAAATCTTTTAAATAATTAAATATTAAACCAAACAAAAATATTTTTTATTAACCAAATAAATTACAAAACTGTGTATTTTGTTAACATTTATTTCATATTCTAAGGACACAGAAGAATTCTGGTAAAACAGATTGGTTTCCCTTCTAATAACAGAGGACTCTTTTGACAAACTGTTAAATGACGGTAATTTAAAGACGTTGTTCACAGGCTGGGGGAATCTTAAGAGTGCATAGGCCTCTGTCCAGATATAATACACCACAGGCCTGAGGCAAACAGCAGAAGAAAATTTAGATATCAGTGAAATAAATAAATGTCTTATTGTAAAATTGAGAGATACTTTTGTCACATCAAATAAAAAGTAAAACCACAACAGTTCCCAAAGGAATTGCAGAAGGTAATAAAAGATAGCAACAGAAATAGGTCTAAAACCAGGAGATGTTTTTTCCCAGATTTACTTCCATGCAAGACCGGAAAGAACATGAAAAATAGGCGGTGTTTTTTTACTGATAAATCTAATGCAAATGGCCCTTGCCTGAACGTCCCCTCTTGTCATTCACACAAACCAGGATCACCGGATGCACCACCAATACTTCTTCTGCCTTACTTTCCTCAAATAACCTTTCACAGCAAAGCACGATCACCTTCAGGTTCAACATGCACATCAGCCTGAAAACTCTGAGGATACTCTCAACAGAGAGCGATAGATACACATACATCCTTACCTAGCAAACAGCCTTGACAGAGCTTATAAAAAGGCGCCCATAACAT